TTCAGGATAGACAATATGTCAGGCCACAAAATGAGTCTCAATTAATTTAAAAGTATCAAAATAATATTGGGGCACCCAACTCTTGATTTCAGCTGAGGTCATAATCTCAGTTGTGAGATCAAGCCTGACATCGGGCTCCCTGCTCAGTGGGGAGTCTGCTTGAGATTCTTTCCCGATGCCCCTCCCCCCTTCTCTGTAAAAATAAATCTTTAAGAAAAATTTAAGAAATCAAAATAATATAAAGTATACTGGCCACTCACAATGGAATTAAATGAGAAATCAGCAACAGAAGTGAATCTGGGAAATTCACAATGTGTGGAAATTAAAACATACTCCTAAATAACAAATGGGTCAAAGGAAAATTAAAAAGTACTTTGAGATGGGCAAAAATGAAACAAAACATACCAAAACTTATGGGACAGAGCAAAAGTAGTTCTCAGAGGAAAATTTATAGATGTAAACGTTTATATTAAAAAAGAACGAACTCAAGTCAATAATCTAAACTTCTACATTAACAAACTAAAGAAAAGGCCAACTAAACTCAAAACAAGCTTAACAAAATAAATAATAAAGATTAGAATTTTAATAAGGACTAAGAATAGGAAAACAAGAGAATCGATGAAACAAAAGTTGGCCTATCAAAAAATCAACAAAACTGACAACCCTTTACTCTAGACTGAATATTGACTGTGAAAAAAGAATGAAGATTCAAACTATAAATCCAGAACATAAGTGGGGACATTACTACCAATCTTACAGAAATAAAAATAATTATAAGAGAACACCATGAACAATTTGTACACCAACAAATTAGATAACCAAGATGAAATAGACAAAATCCTAGAAAAACACAAACTATCAACACTGGTTGAAGAAGAAACAGCAAATCTGAATAGAGTTATAAGTAAGAAGATTGAGTCTAGTATTCAAAAAAAATCCTACAAAGAAAAGTCCTCATCCAGACATTTTTGCTGGTGAATTCTGCAAATTTAAAGAATTAACACCAATTATTCTTAAACTTTTCTAAAAATAAAAGAGGGAGGAACACTTCCTAAGCTCATTCTATAAGGCCAGTATTTTCAATACCAAAGCCAGACAAGAAATAAAAACTACAGACCAATATCCTTTATGAATGTTGATGTAAAAATCCTCAACAAAATAAAAGCAACCTGTCTAGCAGCATATTAAAAGGCCTGTATACCTTGTCAAAGTAGGACTTATCCCAAGAATGCAGGGTTAGTTCAATATATGAAAACCAATCGGTGTAATACATCATATTAATAGAATTAAAAGAAAAAAAAAACAGTGATCATCTCAATAGATGAAGAAAAAGCTTTTGACACCGTTGAACACCTTTCCATCATAAAAGCACCCAACAAATTAAGAAGAGAATAGAGATTTCTTGAGGCCCAACCATATTATCGAAAATGGCAAGATTTTGAGGGCATAATGCCAAGTGAAATAGTCAGAGAAAGACAAATACTGTATGATTTCTCTTATATTTGGAATATATATATGGAATATATATGTGTGTATACACACACACACACACACACACACACACACACACACACATCCCAGCTTGTAGACACAGAGAACAGATTGGTGGTTTCCAAGGTGGGGAAATGGGGTACAGTGGGGAGAAATGGGTAAACTATTTTTTTCCAGTTTATACAAATTGAATTTTAAAAAGAAAAAAAAAGAATGAAATTTTCTCAAATCAATAAAGGTAATCTGTGAAAAACACAGATTTAACATCATACTTAATGGTGAAAGACTGAGATTTCCCCTTAAGATCAGAAACAAAACAAGGATCTCCACTCTTGTCTTCTTATTTAATATTTTACTGGAGTTCTAGCCAGGATAATTAAGCAAGAAAAGAGGTAAAAGGCAACGAGATTGGGAAGAAGGAAAATTATCTCCATTCACTGACAGCATGACCTTGTATGTAGAAATCCTAAAGAATTAACACAAATAAAATCAAACTATTAGTGTCAGTAAATGAGTTTGGCAAAACTGCAGAATACAAGATCAATATAGAAATATCAGTTGTGGTGGTGCCTGGGTGGCTCAGTTGTTAAGCATCTGCCTTTGGCTCAGGTCATGATCCCAGGATCCTGGGACTGAGCCCCGCATCGGGTTCCCTGCTCAGCGGGAAGCCTGCTTCTCCCTCTCCCACTCCCCCTGCTTGTGTTCCCTCTCTGTCAAATAAATAAAATCTTAAAAAAAAAAAAAGAAATATCAGGTTGTAGTTCCATATACAATTAGTGATCCAAAAATGAAATTAAAACAATTCCATTTGCCATAATATCAACAAGAATAATATTTAGGAATAAATGATTAATCCAGGAAGTATAAGACTTGTACACTAAAAACTATAAAACAGTGTTAAAAGACATGATAAATTATAGAAAACCTACATAAATGGAATGATAATCCATTTTCATGGACTACAAAGTGTAATATTATTAAGATGGCAATCCTCCCCAAATTGATTCACATATTTAATGCAATCCCTATCAAAATTCCAACTACTGTTTTTTTTTTCTTTCCAGATATGGGAAAACTGGCCCTAAAATTCATATGGAAATTAGGAAACCCCAAATAATCAAAGTTATTTGGAAAAAAAAGTTGAAAGACTCTCACTTTTCAATTTCAAATCTCAAAACAAAGCTACAGTAATCAAAACACTGTGTTACTGGCATAAGGACAGACCTATAGATCAATAGAACAGAAATAAGAGTCTAGAAAAATAATATACATCTGTGGTCAATTTTCAACAATAGTGCTAAGACCACTCACTGGAGAAAGAGTAGTCTTTTTCACCAAATGATGCTGAGATACTAGATAGCACATGCAAAAGAAGGAACTTGTATACTCCTACCTCATATCATATACTAAAAATAACTCAAAATGGAACAAAGACATAAATATAAGAACAAACTAAAATTCTTAGAACACAAAGGGTTCAAATTCTCATGATCTTAGATGTGACAAAGGATTCTTATATATGACAACAAAAGAAATACATAAACTATACTTCATAATTAAAAACCTTTGTGTATCAAAGGACACAATCAAGAAATTGAGACGACAACCCACAGAAGGGGAAAAATATTTTCTAATCATACATCTGATAAGGGACTTGAATCTAGAATACACAAAGAACTCCTACAACTTAACAGTAAAAAGACAACCCAATCAAAAACTGGCAAAGAATCTGAATAGACATTTCTCCAATGAAGATATACAAATGGCCAACAGGCACATGAAAAGATGCTCACCATCATTAGTTTTCAGGGAAATGCAAATCAAAACCACAATAAGATACCACTTTATACTAAGAGGATGGATAGAATAAAAATTTCTGATTATAACAAGTTTTGGTGAGGATATGGAAAAATCTGAATCCTCACACACTACTGGTGAAATGTAAAAATCAGTCAGCTGCTTTGGAAAATAGTCTGGTAGAGTTGCTTTATTACCCACGATATACCCAAGAGAAGTAGAAACATCTCTACACGTAAGTATAAATGTTCACGGCAGCATTACTCATGAGTGAAAGATCTAATCAACCCAAATGTCTATCAATAAATGGATAAAAAATATGTGGAAATCCATATAAGGGAATGTTATTTGGCCATAAAAAAGAAGTACTGATACATACTACAACTTGGAGGAACCATGAAAATATAATGCTGAATGAAATAAACCAGTCACAGAAGGCCACATATTATATGATTTAATTCATTAGAAGTCCAAAACAGGGAACTCTACAGAGACAGAAAGTTGATAAATTATTGCTTAGGACTGGTAGAAGGAAATGGTAGAGGTGTATTTTGGGGGACGATAGCCAAAGGGGAGAGTGTTTTTTTCAGGTGACGAGAATGTTCTCAATTTGATTGCATTGATGATGGCAAATATCTGGGAATATACTAAAAACCACTGAATTTTACACTTTAAATAAATGAACTGTATGATAGGAGGATTATATCAATAAAGTTTTTTAAAAAATGAATTTTTTTCTCACTTAAAGCAAACTTTTTTCCAAATTTAAGTGTTGATTCTACTTATTCTGAAGTCACTTTGCCTGTAATCAATAAAGGAATATAGCCGTTCATCACGATTATGATAGATCAATTAGTAATATTCCCACTTCACCGCTCTGCCATTTACTATTCCTTTCCCTGGATTAACTTTCTCCTCCTTTCTCCCTTCAAAATACTATCCATCCTTCACGATGTAGCTCAAACACCACTTCTTTTTTGAAGGTGTCCACAGTTCCCCACAATGGAGCACATTTCTTTCTCTTCTGCATGGTCCTGCCACATGGCCCATACAACTGGTCTAACACTTAATGCATATTCATGGTTCTTGTACACACTTCTCTCCCGCATTTGGTGGAAATTCCTTTAAGAGCAAAGCAAATTTCATGTATCTCTACATCCTCCACAAAGTTGAATGTTCTGAAACTCATGATCTTCCTCAAATTAAATTAAAGCAATAAAGATAATTCTTCTAAAATCTGTTCTTTTTCACCTCCATACAAACTATACTAAAGCAAAAATTCTTTGGAATGCAATGAATTTACACTAAACAACTTAAGAGTAAAAATTATTTTATTATCCAATCACTAGAGAATTCTTTATTAGAGATACTGGATTGCCCAAAAACTAGTTCATAGGGACTAAAATGTTGATTTCTATCTTTTGTGAGAACCATCTTAGAAACCATCTTAGACTTAAGTACTTAACAGAATATTAAATAATCTTCATGATTTCAAAAACTTCAACCAGAAACACATTATTTCAACAAAATGGAAAGACTTTCTTTGGTCCTCTGTTATGAACACCATTTCCAAAATATTTATGGTTGTAAGAGTGATACTCTGTGAGAATATAAAATTTTTGGTTCTAAATTACAAGCTACTTTGTGTTACACTTTGAGAAATAAAAACCTGGGTAGTAACAACATTTGCATCCTTAGTTTATTGTCATTACCTCTCGTTCTATGGTCTTCCTCCTCAGCAGCTTTTTGACACTTGGGAGCTGCTTCTTTAACAACATGGTAGCCTCGTTCATTCTTCTGACTTGCGTGATTAAGAAAGATGGAACCTGGAGAAGAAACACTGCTTGAATCAAAAGAAAAGCGTTGAATTAAACCTCCCAGTTAGACTCTGTCTCCAGTTATGGTAACTCCTTTAGGATGCTCAGTATCCTGGAACTAGGGACTATGGCACTTGTCCTTGTAGAGATTAGAGAAAATGATAAGGATTCCTGTTTAAAAGATAAAAGATGCTTAGGAGCAGCCATTAAAGAATGACAAAGATGCCACAAGCTACCTGGGATTATCTTCTCACATTTTTTCCCTGTGACTAATGGCATGGAGCCTTTATGTTTCCTGGGTGCTGGTGGATTTTGAGGGAAAACATCACAGTCATCACACTGTTACTCACCTTCCACAGAATTTTCTGGTATTTAAGCATTAGGCGGATGATGTGGGCTGCAGTGTTTGCTAACTGTAATTCTTCATAATCAGAATGTTTGCTTCGACTGAAGAAAAGGTTTGGTGCCATTATAGTAGAAATGTTCCATATACTCATTCGGTTTTTTGATTCGTTGGCAATCACTTTATTGAAGAATGTCATGAGGGCCTAACAAGAAACAGCACTGTGTCACACTACTGTAAATTATCAAAAGGCACCACTGATTGTTATCATTCATTTCTATACCCATTCATGGTGCCTCTGGAAAACTGTCAGAACTACAGAATGGTTAAATGTATAATGTTGCCCCTTTTATTCCTTAAAAGTATTAATGAGAAATGTGAATAGTTTACTTAATTCTCTGCTTCATAAAAGTACTTCCATTTTTTATTATATTGGAGATTCTATAAATATTAGTTTGCATTTTTTATTTTCTTTTATCAAAACAAGGTTGACAAATATTAAAATTATGTAATAAACTAGGAAGAGAAAACACTGCATTTCAAATAAACATGAAGTGCAGTTTTGTTGTGAAGGAAGAAAAGGAATCCTAAAAAACACCCTTATTTAAAGTATTACTATTGAAAACTAATATTTCCTTGGGAAAGGAAAACCCATTTAAAAAAAAAAACATGAGTATCTCATTCCTCAGTCCAAATGTAAACTCAATTGAAAAATTGAAAAATTTTACTTTCTCGGTGTCATTTTTCTATTGCTTTTCAGTTTTGGAATATTTAGCAGACCAAAGGGAAATGCTTACATGCAGCTGTTCTTGGCATTTAAAAAAGAGAGAGAGATTTGAGAAACCTTAAAGTTTGGCTAAGCCACCAAAGTACAGATGCTTATCAGAACCTTCTGAAATTCACCAAGTGGGCTGAAATCTTTAAAAAAAAAAAATAGTTTTTTAAGTTTAAATCCTGCTATAGTATTTTTAATGAGAAAATGGTTAACATATAATAATAGTCAACACTTATTTGAGGGCTTATTGTAAGCCAAGCATTCTTAATACTTCATATGTATCACTGACTTTATCATTATTACAAACCCTGTGAAGTAGGTACTATTATTAATACTGTTTGACAGGTGAGGAAACTAATGTAAAAGATTCAGGTAGCTTTGCCCAGTCAATTCATTAAGTGGCAAAGCCAGGATTTGAACTGAATAAACCTGATTCTCGAGCCAGAGCTCTTGATCTCTATATAGAGCACATCAGTTTCAATCCTAGATCCAGTCACAGTGTAGAATGGGGAAACTGTGTGTGTGTGTGTGTGTGTGTGTAACATCTCCACCAGTCCCATGATGTTTTTGAGGATCTTCTGTTAGAAAAGTATTGGATTACTCGTTTTTATTGCATTCTTGAGAGGAGAGATGACATTCTGAACCAAATATCTGATACCAGATGCATCCTTTTTTTTCTCTTTATATATAAAAGAACATTGTTTACAAAAACCCCCAAAACAAGCTAATAAATTTCCAGCTTTTGAAAAATTACTGCATTATACTAGAAACAGACATTCTTCTGTCACATCCAATCCCCATCCTTGGGCTCAGGATATGATATAACTGACATATATTATAATTGACATAGATGTTTTTATTATGTAGGAGGAAAGGTCCTCATCAAGTTGAAATGTCTGATGAAAGGCAGCACACAGAATCATCTTTGTTTTCAGCGTTATGTTTACTGGCCTCAAAATTATGGGCTCTTTCCAACTCATCTTAACTTAATTTCATTTCAAAGATTCCAAACACCTGTTGTACTTACAACAAATTTCCTATTGCATACAGAATCATTATCAAAATAGTGAGAGAACCTTTTGATTTTTGCCAACATACAGCAAGGAAATAAATCTGAAATAAGGGGCAGAATATTTGGGAGAACCATGGAATATGGTTCTATCAAATGTTCTATTATATGTTAACGGAAAAATCATTTTTCTGAGTCTTAATTTTCCTAACCTGTAGAATGAGAAGATCCTACCAGGTGATTTCTAAAATTCCAAGATTCTAGGATTCTTTAATTGATTATTATTATTATTTTTAAAGATTTTATTTATTTGACAGAGAGAGACACAGCCAGAGAGAGAACACAAGCAGGGGGAATGAGAGAGGGAGAAGCAGGCTTCCCGCGGAGCAGGGAGCCCGATGCAGGGCTCGATCCCAGAACCCTGGAATCATGACCTGAGCTGAAGGCAGATGCTTAACGACTGAGCCACCCAGGCGCCCCTGAATTATCTTTATAAACTGTAAGACACCAACATTTTAGAAATTTCATTTATATCAGTGACTTCAAATTTCCTCCCTAAGGATACTCTTCAGATCTTCTGTCACCAGACTGAAATAAGTAGCTGAGGACCTAAAATTATAGAGCTTTATGTTCTGCAGCTTACATAATGGCCCCTGACATTATCCCATTTGTCTTCTTCTGACATTATCCCATTTGTCTTCCATCTTTGCTTCTCCCTTTGCTAACCCTAGGCCAGTGCCTGGCACTAGACAGATACTCAATATCTCTTAACAGATTGAATGAATTAAACTGAAATGCTCAGAGAAGATTCTAGGATTTATATTCTTTCCTATCTTCCTCGGGAGAACAGCAGTAAGAATGTGGAAAGGCAATAATAGGCTGACAGCATGCTCAGCTGGCTTAGTAAGTTGTCATCTTGGTTTTTATTTTTCCATCTGAGCCATTGTCTTTGACTAAGAAGGGCCAGTGACAGACCATGAGGTTGATAGAACATACCTGGGCTGTGTCCCTGTTGGCATCGGGCAGTGCCATGACCATGAGATGTAAAGCTTGAAACTGTACTTTGATGTGAGGCCCTCCTAACAAGAAAACAGAAATAACCACACATTTTGAACAACATTGTTGCATTCTGACAGCACTTCTTGCTAACATCTGGTGGCACAGGAGGACTCCTGACAGCTTTCAGTGGTAAAGACTCAGGTTTTGCGCCCAACAATGTAAATTTGTTAACTTGGACAAGAGCCTCAGTCGATCAACTCCTCTTTCACATCCCATAATGCCATTGTAGAGGCAGGTGGCCAATGAGATCCTCAAAATAATCTAGATTTGTATAACATTTCTCTTTTCAAAGTACTTCCACAGGCCCTGCTTTACTTGTATGCTATAAACAGAAGGCTTAAAAGCTCAAGTCAACAGAAAATATATCTTTTTTCCACATAATGAGGCAGCAAAGTATAATTATTAGGAGCATAGATTCTAGAACCAGGTTCAAATCCTGCATCTACTTTAGTCTGAGTGACCTTGTACAGGCTACTTAACCCCTCATTCCTACTATTTTGCCATCTGTAAAATGGGAGTAGTCGTATCTACCTATCTCCCCGGGTTATTACAAAGACTAAATGAGTTAGTATGTATAGTGTGTTTACATCAGTGCCTGTATATAATTACCTCTATATGTGTTTGCTCTTATTATTATGGACATTTAAGGTAAGTGACTATAGTTGGATCTTTAGAGATTCTTGAGTATTTTATTCCTTGATAATGACAGAAGATGGCGCCAGAGGGCTGGCATTTATACTTGTGTATTAAACGCTGATTCTTTTCCTGTTTCAGGGAATTTTAGGGATTCCATCCACAGCTGGATAATCCACAATGAGCTGTACTGAAAATGTAGAGTATATCAGAGCATTCCAGGCGTTGTTTTGTCTCTCTGTATTCTCCTCACAATGGTCTCTTGGTGGGGAGTTCCTGGAGGGAAGCGTTATGTTCTAGCACCCCTGGGGAGTTCTCAACTTGAAGGTAAATCTATTTATATTCAATGGATGAAAGGCAGTCACCTGCCTGTAAAGTTACTTAGCTTTACAGCAGTGAATCTATTTATATTCAATGGATGAAAGGCAGTCACCTGCCTGTAAAGTTACTTAGCTTTACAGCAGTGGAAACATTCTTGAGACAAGCTACTAGGTTATAGGAGATTGTGTGCATCCTTGTTAGGAGGAGATGACTAATGTGCATAACCATTTAACAAAGAAACAGTTGGGAGGATTATTTATAGGATTGTGTCACATTGTCTTGGCACAATCCCCATGTGGATTTTTAGAAATTTATGTCAAATTTGTAAACAAAAATGACACAGGTTCAGGATTTTTTTGGAAAATGGCTAATGTACACTGACATGAGTTTACATAATTAATAGGAACTATCAGGAGCATATCTCAGTACAAAGCACTGAGGGACGGATAAGGCATTATTTAATACATAAATTGCAGGCTGTCTATAATCTTCCAATGCAACCAACATTTTGGCAGAGGGAACAATAGATGCAGATGCAGGCTCTATATTTCCATCAATTTCAGAGAAATTATGAAGTTACTTTTAAGACTGAAACTCTAAACTGGCAAATAATCCATTTTCATTTTATTTAGGAAACCTACCCCTATACCACTTTGTAGCTAACAGTTTTGTAGTTAATTCATTACTGCATCCTGGTTCAGATTTTTTTCCCTTGAGGTCATTATTTTCCCAGAAAATTATTCAACTTTTCACAAAAGTATCTAAAGTTTGACTTAGTCTTTTAATTTTATGGGCAATTTTTGGGCCAAGTTTGGAAAGAGAATGTGATTACAGTAAAAGACTACATGCTCCAAAGCCCATTTTAGAGCATAAAGATTAGCAGTTTAAACACACGTATCCATAATTCTTTCCTTCAGAAAAATCTCATTATAACTAGGGCTTACTCTAGGTAGCAAAAAGGACATTTTCCCTGCTGGTAGCAGCCCAGAACTCTGGGCTTCCTGTGGGGTTGGCTGGTATCAACTCAATCACTGCAACATGCTTTTTTCACTTTCAAAGTCATACAAGGAAATGTGGACTCCTCTGTGAACCTTTTCAGGATATTTTCCAGATTTTCTCCCTTCAATGAAGTGTACTAGCTGTAGTCAGACAGGAACAATGATGTTAAGGAAACCTGTTTTAAATGTGTATGACATTTTAAAATAGGATTCTCTCAACAGGACTGGCATTGGACTCCTTGCATAATCTCATAATACTAAAAAACCACAAACAGAAAAAATCTTCTGTGGCACCAATTGTTTTGATGCATTATTTAATATTATACCACAGATCAAGGCAAAGGGAATACTTCTCCATTTTCCAGGAGAGCAAACTATACAGAAAATCCTACTTACAAATTGAAGGGAGGAAGTCCTGCTTCTGGTATGGCTGAATAAGCTCTGTCCTGACCAACCCTCCTGAAGATAACTATAAACTCTGGACAAATACAAAACCAACCATCTAAGGCAGTGGAGAATTCATAAGAGCAGGCAGATTGAGAAGCCTGGACACTTGGAAATAGGGAATGGTACAGGGAGAGTTTCCCACTATCCTGGTTTTTAGTCTATGGTGAGGCCATAGCTGGTCTTGCAGGAGGCAGCTAAAACTCCAGTTCTTCTGGCCCAAACAGCTAAAAGTCAGGATTCACGATGACCACAGCCACTGGGAAATAATGGAGGAGGCCCTGATTCTGGTAAAAAATCTTGGCTGACTCATGAACGAAGCATGTGTGGAGTAGCACAAGGAAAGATACATAACTGAACTGACAGTCCAAAAGACCGCTGACAATTTGAGTTCAAGTAAATTGTTGGCCCAAATACAAATAACAAAAAGCAAAACAAGACTCCAACCTCACTCTTTGGAGAAATATTATAGAATGCAGTGTCTCCAAAACACAACATTTACAACGTTCAGGATATAGTATTAAATTTACTTAACATACAAGAGTGATGCATTCTCAAGGGAAAAGACAATCAACAGAGACCAACCCAGAGGTGACCCAGATGTTGGCACTAGCAGACAAGGATTAATGATGTTAAGAAAAATATGCTTATAATGAATGAGAAGATAGGCCATCTCAGCAAATAAATAGAAAATCCTTAAAAAGGAGGCAAGAATATGACAAGGGAAACAAGAATATACAATGGGGAAAAGACAGTCTCTTCAACAAATGGTATTGGGAAAACTGGACAGCCACATGCAAAAGAATGGAACTAGACTATTGTCTTATACTACATGCAAAAATGAACCCAAAATATAAAAAAATGAACTCAAAATGGATTAAAGACCTAAATGTGAGACCTAAAACCATAAAACTTCTAGAAGAAAACATAAGCAGTAACCTCTTTGACATCAGCCATAGTTAGATTTTCTAGATCCAGCTCCTCAGGCAAGGGAAACAAGCAAAATTAAACTACTGAGACTACCCCAAAATAAAATGCTTCTGCACAGTGAAGGAAATCATCAACAAAACAAAAAGGCAACCTATTGAATGGGAGAAGATATTTACAAATGATATACCCGATAAGGGGTTAATATTCAAAATGTATAAACTTAACACAAAAAAACCCCAAATAATCTGATTAAAAAACGGGTGTAGGACATTTTCCCTAATGTAGACATTTTCCCTAAGAAGATAGAGACGAACAACAGACATGAAAAAATGCAAATCAAAACCACAATGAGATGTTACCTTACACCTGTCAGAATGACCAAAATAAAAAACACAAGAAGTAACAAGTGTTGGTGAGGATGTGGAGAAAAAGGAACACTTATGCATAGTTGGTGGGAATGCAAATTGGTGCAGCCACTGCGGAAAATCCTATGGAAGTTCTTCAAAAAATTAAAATTATCATTACCATGTGATCCAGTAATTCCACTGCTGGGCATTTATCAAAAGAAAACAAAAACACTAATTCAAAAAGATATATGCAAGCCTATGTTTACTGCAACATTATTTACAATAGCCAAAGATATGGAAGCAACCCCAGTATCAAACAGATGAATGGATAAAGAAAATATGGTGTGAAAAAAAATAAAGAAGATGTGGGGTGTGTATGTGTGTGTATATATACATACAATGTACACACACACACACACACACACACACACATATACATATAATGGAATATTACTCAGCCATAAAAAACCAAAATCTTGCCATTTGCAACAACATGGATGGATCTAGAGGGTATAATGCTAAGTGAAAGAAGTCAGAGAAAGAAAAATGCCATATGATTTTTTACTCATGTGCAATTTAAGAAACAAAGGAACAAACAAACAAAAAAAGAGACAAAAAACCAGACTCTTAAATATATAGAGAACAAACTGGTGGTTGCCAGAGGGGAGGTGGGGAGGGGGTGGGGGAAAGCAATAAAGGGGATTAAGAGTACACTCACCATGATGAGCACTGAAAAATGTATCAGATTATTGAATCATCATATCGTACACCTAAAACTAATACAACACCGCGTGTTAATTATATTTTATTAAAAAAAAGCACCAACTGGAAATTCTAGAACTGACAAAACACAATATCTGAAATAAAAAGGAATAAAGAGAACTAGCTCTTCTCTCTTTCTTTGCAAGCTTCTCTCATAAAACAAAACACTACATCTTACAAAGAAAAGAGATACTAGTCATAGATGGCATGTGAATTAAAGCTTAGGAAAAAACTGCCTTGCTTATCACATTCTCTTCTCTGAAGACACAAAGGATTATTTTATGAATCTGATTTAGTTAAAATTTTTAAAGATTTAGAACCTACTATTTTTTAGGACAAATTTTGTCATAAAACTCAGGACCTATTCTTTTCCTTCATTGTGGTTTTAAGGATTTTATAGATCTGGTCAACCTGCGGGAAGTTGTAAACTGGCAGCTAGAGATATCATTTGTTAGGCTCACAGAATGTTTTCAAATTTGAATTTGTGGCTGATATTTTCAAATTTACAGTTTTCCTATTGAAGTGTGGATTTTGGCTCTCATTCCCACATGGTAACCATTATCTAGAGCTGAGCAGTGGTCAACCTTTTTATAAGGGATGTGTCCTTTTAGTTTGCCCATGGGCCTTTTCTGTCCATGTAGAATTACCATTTATTTAACAGCTTTGTACAGAGTTAGCCCTGTGACCCTTGAATTCCTCTGGTTAGTAGTCAAAGCCCCCATCATGTAAACCCATTCTACTTTTCTAAATTTCTTTCTTGTCACATCTCCACAATATTCAACCCTGAAGCTAAAAACTAAAACCATGCCAAATTATTCCCTCATTGCCAAATACAACACACACTTTCCAGTTTCCATGCTTTTATCCAAGTTCCTCACTTAAGGCCTAATCTATGTAACTTTGTAGTTTTCAGAGACAAAACACCTTCTGTGTAACATTTACTGTGTGTTAAACATCATTAAACCCAGGACCTTGGATTTAAAGAAGGGAGAGACCTTCTATTTTTGGAAGGACTATTACACACCAGGTACTATTCTAGATGTCTTCATTCAATAACCACATCAACCCTGACAAGCAATTATTTTCTGTAATTTATAGGTGCAGCAATGAAGCTCAAAAAGGTTGATTACATGGCTAACAGATGGTTGAGCAGGAATTCAAATCTCAAGAGCCTGGTCTTTCTGCAACCCTCTTTTTTAACGATCATAAAACCCGCTAAATTGTATCTACCAATAATGAGAAGAGAGGACTGTTTACCATCAAATTCAATACTTCACCAAGCACTCCCAGGAAACAGGAAATCTGTACATTTATGATCACATTTGATTATGCATCTTTCTTTTGCTGTGTGACTTTATTGACCTTACATCTTAGTCCATTCACACTTAACTTCTTCCACCTACTTTCCATGAGAGTGATGAAGGCAGGTATATATTCCACAGGGAAAAGAGAGGTGGGTAGTTCTCTGAAAAATGCCTTCAACATTACTGCAGCTTCTCTATGGCACATTCTGTCCCATTTAAATTTATCAGCATTAAACTTGGCATCCAGTTCTTCACGGTATTGCTGAAAATCAAGAAAAAGAGTCAATATTCAAAGTGTTTTTACCACCTGATCCCCCTTTCCCTTTTAAAAACTGTCATTACATAAACTATTTTTGTAAATAGATTGAAAAGCCAGTATCTACCAACCCTAACTTTTTCAACATAATTAAAGAACTGAAATAGCTATTTCTGAATGAATTTTTCTAAAATCTTTTAAGAATAATGTTAATCTTGAAATTATCTGCTAATTCTACAGAACTATAAAATGCTTTACTCAGATCATAATTTCGTTTCTGTGGTTTTGGCAGAATACCACGTATCCCCACAGGACAAATGTACTGATTTGACAAAAGCCTCCACTTCCCTTTTTTTTTTTTTTCATGATCCCTTCCTTCTGCCATCCTGTCATCTACTTCTAAATTAGACCAAGAATGTATGCCTCTCAGCTAGTTCTCATACAGAATGAAAAATATCCCAATAAAGGAACTCTGACCTCACAGCAACATGCAGACCAATGACATCTTCCTGGAGCAGTTACAGCAAAGTGTCATGCCAAGAGGTACACATGTCTTCCACATGTTTGCATGCTTGCCCAATCCTTCATAAGGTTTGGAACACTGTGTAAATACTTTAAGAAGATCACTAAGCCTCCATAAGTTTTAGTTGGGTTATACAGTTCACATTATCGATTAATCTGATTTTCGGTGCCACCATTCTCCATGTTTCTTTTTCAAACTCATTTTCTACTCTCCCCTTGAATTGCATACAGAGTTCACCTATTAATAACAGGTAGTTGTAGTAGTTCCCCAACTGACACTAACTACTCCAAAAAGAGAACTCTGAAAACCCTCAGCATTTTTGAGGCCTTCCAGCCTTGAGTCATGCACAGCCAGTCGGTCTGCACATCTGACCTTTCCCTACCACATTGCAGCTCATTACCCAGCCCAGACTTTAATGCTCCCTGAGCCTACGACACGGGGGACACCCTGGTAGTACATGTGCCTTACAGAGACAGACAGGATTCCAAGCCACCCTCTAGCCCTTACTAATGACAGCAAAAGGAAATATTCTTCTTGTCCTTGAGAAGCTCTCAGTCTAATAGGAATAAAAGAGCAAATCAAGCAAATCCTTTGCTGATAAATACACTTTGTAAAGCACTGAAGCATACATAAAAAGTGCTTCCTAGAATAAAAGAAGGAGAGTACAGACTGGGCTCTGGTAAGAGAAGGATGCACGGGATCCATTCTTTGCCTTTAGGCAGTTCTGTGAATGGTACTATCTTATGAATTCATGATGCTAACTCAGGTCACATATTGGATGCTATGCAGCCAGGAAAGAGGAGAATCCAACTCTTCTCAGGCCAAGTCTTGAATCTGTGAGGCGCTTGTCAGAGGAAGAGGAAATAGAAGGGTACTCCAGACAGCAGAAAGTGCTCCAGCAGTGGTACACATGCAAGGAGACCCACTGGATCTGGGGAACTCCCAATTAGTTCAGTGTGCTGGGGTGCAGACCAGAGCCAGCCCTCAGGGGGCTGAACTTATTCCATGGGTCATGAGGCAACATGGAACATATCCAAGCAGGAGAACAAGGTGAGATTTATCTCTTCTGGCAGCCAGATGGGAAAGCGATTTGGAGGAGAATAGAGCTTGGGTGCTGATTGGGGAACAGACTAGAGGCAAGGAGACTAGCTACTGGGTCATGGCACCATTTCTGGAAAATGGAGGACTAATCCGGATAAGCAGCTGTAAGACAGAAAGGAGAGGCGGCACGGACGGACTGCCTGAGAAAATTCTCACAAATCAGTGATGGATTATTTAGAAGGTGACATAACCGTCCAAAATGACTCTGACTGCTAGCTGGGGTCATAGGTAGATGGAGGTGTTAACGGCAAGTACAGGGAAAGCAGCAAATGTCTTCCATCCATTGCCCAGTGCTACAAAGCAAAGGGGAAACTGTTTTCAAGGAGGCAAGAAGCACCAGCGAGGGCAGAATAATTCAAATTCATCTCCCACATCCCTCTGCTGTACGAAGCTGACTGAAACACAATGTGACCACCGTTCTAACCTGCCAGCGGTTCCCTGTTGCTTAACAGGCAGCACAGCTCCGGCACCACAAGCGGGCTCTACAACCAGATTCTTTAGGTTCTGATCCCAGCTCCACAACTGACTAGTTCTAAGGCCTAGGCCTCAAGTTCCTCACTGTGTAACAGGAATATTAAAATGACTTCAGGGGCGCATGGGTGGCTCAGTTGGTTAAGCGTCTGCCTTCGGCTCAGGTCATGATCTCATGGTCCTGGGATCGAGCCCCACATCGGGCTCCCGGCTCAGTGGGAAGCCTGCTTCCCCCTCTCCCACTTCCCCTGCTTGTGTTCCCTCTCTCGCTGTGTCTCTGTCAAATAAATAAATACAATCTAAATAAATAAATAAATAAATAAATAAATAAATAAATAAATAAATAAATAAAATGACTTCGCAGAGATTCAATCAGATAATAATATGTAAAGCTCAGTGGGGAGGGCCCGCCACACAGCAAGCTTTCAATAAATGCTGGCTGCTCCTAACATCCCCCTCCTCTTGGTCTGTAATAACCTTTAGTATTATTACTATGGGAAACCCATGCATATGTAGTTATTTGGTAACAGTATCTCTTCCTCTGTCTGGATGGACAGAATAAAACAAAACTGAGAGAAAGAATGTCCTCTCTTCCTTTTGAACAGAAAAAACTGAGGGACATAGGAGCAGAGCTGACATTTCCACGGTAGTCCTAAACATGAAACCATAAACCAGGTGTTGAATTCAGCTTGCCAAAGACAGGAAAGGAAGCATCTGGAGGTTAAAGAAGTCATGTTTTCTGTCCACTGTTAATGAGAACACTAGGCCGGGGTCAGATACCACGTCCTTTAATCTGCTCTGAGCAAATATACAACCTGCTTCCATGTCAGAGGCAGGTTTATAAAAATGCAAATGACCCACCTTCAGCTTCAAAAACCAGTTCAGGAAGGGAAACCAGCAGACCAGGTAACATAATTACAATACATTTAGAGCAGCCTCAGAATAATTGAAATGAGTCAAGAAAAAAAGAAAACCTCGCATGTCAAACAGCTTGCCTTCTTCCATAAAATGTATTCCCCAGTGTTTGGCTCAAATTTCTATCATTTTTGGAAAAGAAAATCATTGAAAACACCAAAGCATTAAATTGGTTCCAAATGATCTGAGGCCTCGAATACAGGAATGGGCTCCACTGCTGTGTTCCCTGTGCGGCCAAAGCTAGCAGCTTCCCCCCAGGGCTGTGCCCCTGTTAGTTTCACCAGGCCTTGAAAGCACAAGATTGTTCATAATGACACATTAGTGTTAGCATCATCCATTTGGCACAATTAGAGGATAATTACAATGGAGTATTTTTTTAACAATCTTTCCCTAAGCACATTCCTAGAAAAACTAGTCTAACAGAAGAATTTAGACAAGTAGTTTAAAGTTTGAACAAAGAAGAGAAATAAAGACCCCTTTAATAGATCAAGTTACAATGTCTTTCTAACTATGATATTCCCCCATTTCTGTTTGCTGGCCCAGATTTCTCTCACTTGGTTTTCCTGGAGCTCAAACCATGAAAACATCTGGATTACATTTTCAGACTAATAAGAGATGGAATAAATAGGCTGAAACTACATAAAACCGATTAGGGGAGAAAAGGGACTTTTCCCTAAATATGGTTCAGGAATGCATGTGCCTATAAGAACACTCTGAAGGAATTATTAGCCTTTGGTAAGCATTTTTCAAAGATTAGCTAAAGAAAAGTAACTTCTGCTATGGTGTTAAACTTCGTGCACACAACAAAGGTTGTGTAATGTCTCCTTTTGATTATTTTGAAAAATAGAGTCTTAAATCATCTCTATTATGTTTTACATACATACATACATACATACACAGACACACAGACACACACACACACACACACACAGGAGCCAGGAAGAATCTGTGTAAATACTATTTCCCAATCATAGAGGGAGATTTAGAGGAATGAAGTCTAATTGTGTCTAGGAAATTTGTTTCTCTGACTTCATTTTGGTTCTCTGACTCAATAAATATGACAACTTTCATCCTCTGATTCAGGGTACATATAACAACCATACCTATGAGAATCTAAGACAAAAAGCAGACTCAATTTAGAAAGAATAAACCTTTAGGAGCCATTAGGAATTTTCTTGCCTTTCAAATGACCTTCTGCCAGCATCTAGCAATCTCCATTCCCAGGGAAATGACAACTCTCCAAATGCCCCAACCCCTTTTGCCACTGGTAAAGTGATGCACTGCTCAGACCTCCCTTACAAAATGAATTATCTGCATAAAATAATGCAGGTGACTCCTGACAGCTGACTCCGCCAGCAGTTAGCACCTGCTCATCTGCCTCATCCCCTTCCTCACAGGAAGCCAGAAGCCAGAGCAGTGACTGGGGTGTGGAAGCTGGTGCCGGGCCCCTCTGCCTGGTGAGGGGCTACTCCGAAAGGCAGGGAAGGCCAGCGTGAGCCCTGCTTCTGGTCTGAGGCACAGACTTCCTCCCCTGCACCCTTCAGAAGCACTATGCCTCTTCTACTCCTGACTCCATTTCAGAATCTGCCTTCTGGAGCTTCCAACAGACACAGCCTATTTATTCTCAGTTTCTACTTAACAAAAATATTGCATCACACTTCTAAATAAAAACTGAGATTTCTGATACAAATAGAATTTCCCAAAACATGTACCAAAATGAATTAATGAAGAGATGCTCTTCCACCTCTACACATTGCTACCGAGTTAATTTTTCCCTCATCTTGAGACTTTTTTCTCAAGGACCGATTATTTAAAACTGCTCAGGTTCTCATGTCTACCAGACAGGGAGTGATTCCAGGGCAGAGTAGAACTCCTCACTGTGAGGCCCCCAGCAGACAAAGTGGGATATCTTACTGGAAATTTATGAGAAAAGTTTTTCTTTTTAGTGGTTCTTTCCTTTATGAAAGGAGTGGAGTTTGCCACTTTCTTACTAGAAGTAAGAAAGCAAAGCAAAAGGAATCACATTACTCAGGTGGTTTTATATATAGAAATTAAAATTACCTTCAATAAAACTAGGTTTTAGAACTGCTGAGTGATTATTCCAGTGGTGACAGCCATTCCTACATATTCTTTTTTTTAAATTATGTAATGTTAATCACCATACATTACATCATTAGTTTTTGATGTAGTGTTCCATGATTCACTGTTTGTGTATAACACCCAGTGCTCCATTCCTACATATTCTTATAAGGACTTTCATTAAAAAGACAGCCAAAGAATGTTTCTAAGCTTAAAGCAACTGATAATGGGGGGCACCTGGGTGGTTCAGTCAGTTAAGTGTCTGACTCTTGATTTAAGCTCAGGTCATGATCTCAGGGTCGTAAGATCAAGCCCCACATCCAGCTCTGTGCTGGGCATGGAGCCTGCTTAAGATTCTCTCCCTCCCTCTCCTTCTGTCCTTCTCCCCCCTTAAAAAAAACAGTACATAAAAAAATAAACAAAGTAACTGATAATGGAAATAAGGGCTCATGTAATATTGGCTTGGTGAATTCCATGACCAAGAAGAACAAAGCAAACTAAAATGTTTAACCCAGAAAACAGTGATGGGACATTTCAACTTTTCCAAACTAAAGGTAAGCAACCGTTTTTCATGGCAAATTGGTATGTTGTTTTGCTGTTGCTGGTTTTTTACTGTTGTTGTTCTAAAAAATAAAAGGATACACAACTCAGGATCATGGAACAACATTTAATCATAGGTATCCAGGAACACTAGATAGGGTCAAGTGGTCCTATCAACAGCAACAACAACAAAGGACTTGATACCTGGGGCCTTGTGAACTGGGTCTCGCTAGCTTAGGTCTCCCACTAAAAAGACAGAAAATGTTCAGTACCTTGACTTTGGCAGTGCATCCTGAAAGTCGAAAAATTCCTTCAGATTCCAGGCCCGATTCCTCAACTTTCTCAAAAAACTAAAAAGCAATGATACATTATAAAAATGAATACCTCCATGCAATTATAAACATCTGAAATAACAATGATGGTGACAACAATAAATAAATTACCATGCATATATAAGTCCTGTGCCTGGTATTTGAATGCTTTGTGAAATGTTCACAACTGCCTCTAAGGTCAACAGTAGTTACCAATTTGCAAATACAATGGAGACTGAGAATTGGCCTATCACTTTCCCAGGATCGCCCTCAAAAACGGCACTGTCTCTCAAGCTCCTGCTCTTGACCACTAGAATACACCGCCACTTGGCCAATTTAAGATCTGATTACTGTATATCTCTTTCTGCAGATGGACCAATAGGAAAAGATTTCAAATTTACTATTATTGGGTGCAACCACTTTAGCTGAGAGACAACAGGAATTCTAGAAGTATGACCAAGAAGGCAGAAACCGTAAAGGCTTATACCTCTCCTGAGTTCCCATGGTGATGATGATGATGACGTTGTTAACGTAGTCATAACATAACCTAACATTTACTGTGCACTTACTGTGTCAACTGCCCCTTTCTCAGCACTTTGCCATCTATTAACTCATTTAATCCTCACACTAATCCTACCAATCAGGTGCTAATCGCAGCCCCATCCAACTGCTGAGAAGACTGAGGCACAGACAGGGTAAGTGACTTGCCCGTGTTTACACTGCAAGAGGAGGATCCAGAGTCTCTGCTATTTTCCTTTCAAGAAATGGTGGTGCCTGAAATTAGGGAGTTCTTACAGGTAGGGAGAGAAATGGATATTTAGGCCAAGGAAATATATCCATTAAAAAAGACTCTCCCATAGGAGTGGAAGAATAATACCTTAAGCTGTCTTCAAAGAGGAATACTCGATATCAGGAATAATAATAGCTAACATGTATTGAGTTGCTGATATACATCCAGATTTAGCTGAACTAGCATTTACTGTGCACCTTCCATTTGCTAAGTTCCATGCTACATTTTTGTAGCTACATAATAATATAAATTCATGTGTTCAATCTCCTCGGAATTAGATTTTTATGCATTGTCTTCAAACTCTGTCCTTTACACAGAGGACAGAGGTCATCATTCTAGTTCTAATTCAAAGAAGGAAAGAAAATCTTCGTGTCACCATGGATTTTGGCCGTGGACATACGCTGCGCTCCCTTTCACCCTTCCTCCTGGCTGGCTCTACGTTCAAGGGTAAGGTATCTCACCCTCCTCTGCCTCAGTGGCCTCATTAGTAAGAAGGGAGATGATAACACAACCTCCTCGGGCTGCTGAGTGCTGACTACCCATGCTTGCATATGGATGGCACCTGCTCAGGGGACACACCCTCAGATGCCCCTGTGCATGCCGGCACATCTCGAGCGCCCTCCGGCTCTCTCATCGCCGGCCTCTGCCTCTATGAGCAGCAATCACCTGACTTGAGAAGTCGCTTAGTCTGAGGCACTGGCAGCAAAGTTTAAGAGCACACAGCAAAGAGCCATGGCATTGTTACTGTGAATATGGTAAGTTTATGTTTTCTCAGTCAATATTTTTCTACATTACTTAAAAACTCAATTTAAAATGCAGTAAGATTTTGCTTAGGGCTTGGGATTTTAAATGTGCCACTGGATGTCACTGTTGAATAAATGCATACTTAAGTAAACCAGTGTAAATTGTTGGCTATAAAAAACATGACTTAAAATCAAATCAGCTATTGAGCAATGATGGTCACTGAGATACTGGCAGATGATAGTTATGGTAATATTTTTCAAAACGCCCTTCCCCTTTATCTAAATATATCCTATCTTCATAGTCATACCTGAAAAACCACCAGAAAAGTACACTTTAGGCTTTCTTAAGCTTTGTTTGGCAAATTCATTTAAGTCATCACACATACATATTTTAAAAACACCCAACCTGTGATATAGCTCAGCAAATACTTAAATAATCAGTAAATGTACAGGTGATAATTAATGGTCATCTTGTATTCTGCAGAGAATATTCAAATACACACACAAACATATAACACACACAAGTAACCTTTAGAAAATAATGGAAAAAAATATAACAGAAGGAAGCCATGTGACAGAGCATCTGTGTCCATCACCTGATGCTTTATGGTCAGACAGTGCAACAAGCTCCAAAAGTCTGCAGCAAGGCAAACTGGTTACAAGTGCTGTGGGATGCATGAAGAAATGTGAAAATCACCAAAGGTCTGAGTCCTAGGAGGGCTTTAGTGTCTTTAAATAGACAAGAAAATTCATTAGCGGGTTTGCAACGCCAAACTGCAAGCAGGAGGCTCTGTTATTTCCCCAGTCATTTACATTCCACTCACTTTTTGTAACACCAGGGGGACCTTCACTCCAGGGTCTTTCTTTCGGTCACTGTCCAATAGGACTGTAAGTGGAACGCCAAAAATACCATTGTCTTCATTGTAAAATGGGCAAGAAAGAAAGAAAGAAGAATCAGGAAAGCATTATCTTATTCCAGTGCGTCAAAGTGTTAAAATCAGAAGAAACTGGTCTTAACTACCTCGTCCTTTTACTTTCTCAGTTTTGTTTCTTTTCAACTGGATTCCAAAGGCATCAAAAAAGGCAGTCAGTTCAATGAGAGAGAGATGGCGGATTTTCTTCATGTCTTCAGCAGACAGATCTCCTGCTTCAGTTAGGCCAAATCTGGTTTTCTGGACAATAAATTTCTAAAATACATATTGAAGATATTTATTTCTTATGGCAAAGGAAAATTATTACCCCTTATTCAAATGCCACCTGGACATTCTCAATCTGTATAGCAAAACATGCCGCTTGTAAAAAAATCTCTGAGAAGCAAGCTGTGTCATAGAAAGATTATGAATAATTTTTAGAACATTTACAGAACACTCTTGTGCTAAAGTGTACTATAACATTGTCATCACAACCATGAAAACATCTTTCTCCTAAGAAACATCCTGTGTTGTCCACTGATGTCCCAGGCACCACATGGAATATACCTACCAGGGGTACATGTGACATGTGCACACAAAGCCCAATACCTAAGTGCTCCCAGAAGAGTTTCTGACGTATCTTTTTGGGTTGGGGGACCATCAGTCTTTTAATCAGTATGAGACTAACTAATCTCCCCATTGAATGTGATGCACAAGCCTGCTGAGACAGTAGTTATTCTACCTTACACCTCAAATTCAGATATTAAAAGTCCAAATATTTCTTAAAAAGAAAAATACATAGAAAGTACCAAATAATCCCATTATCATTTTGAGACAATGAATTTGCTATATTCCCCATTTCCACAATAGGAAACAAAATACATTAAAATGACAACCAAAAAAATTCTTCAACAATTTAGAAATACTGTGATGACTATAGTAAGACCTTTTAAGAAAGATCTTATATAATATCCACAAGTTTGCTTTGCTCTCAAAAAACCTGGTATGGAAAAAAATTTGCTAAAGTAGAAAAATCCCAGTTATTTCAATTACAAATATATTCTCTATAGGGGCTCCCTCAGTTAGAGCTTTCTTGAGGTTTTTAAACCATCCATTTATTCATTCATTTGTTCATTTAGTCAACAATTGCTCCTTAGAACCTCAAGTATTCTAAAAAGTAAAACAACAAAATGTAGAATGTGGTTTGGGGCATACCTTGTCTTATTAAAAACTTAGTTGTTTTACCTTCTTTCTGAGACCAAGGCCCCGCATGACAAGAACTGCAATCATTCATTAGGTAATTACCACTTGCTAAATCCCATGCAAAGTTCTTCATGGGAGACTGACCTGCACCCCAGGTGACCCAAATCTCAGGAGGGCACAGCCTGGATGAAGGAACTGGGGGCCAGCATCCTCTCTTGGATGACTCTCTCTAAAGATTGGGAGGGATGCCTCTGAAACCAGAGTCCCACTGGATTCCCTATTTTGCCCTAGAACACCCCTGTGCCCTCCAACATAGAGGCTGCTTAGAGACCAGGAGAAGTTTTAGAGTTTAACATAGGTAGGTTTAAATCCTGTTTCAGCCTCCTACTCACTGTGGGGCTTTGGATATATAACTTCGCTTCTTTGGGCTTCAGTGTTTTAGCTGTAAAATGGGAGTGGTATGGGGTGATTCCAACGCAGATACCTAGTGCAGCACCAGGGTGGTGGAAGACACTCAGTGAGTCTTACAGTTCTTGCCCTGCCCTCTTGCTCCCCCCATCCTGGGGTTGTTGTCTGGGAATGGTCCAGTCTGCCTAGGCAAAGACTCTGCCAGTTTTTATATGATCATTCCTTTAGCCCTGAAACTGCCTGAGCCCTGCTGCTCATCGTGCCTCCAGCTCCGATCAGCACAGAATATTCATCGCTCTACATCATGAACTCTTCACAAATGCATTTACTGAGTAGCCAATAGATCAATGTAACATAGTTCTTATAGTGGGCTTTCAGGATATAATATCCTGGATACAGATATAGATTTAGATATATAGATATAAGTATATATATATATACTCTGAGGCTTTCAGGATTATGAAGTAGATAGCTCTACTTGCCTATTCTGTAATAATGTTATAAATTCTTGAGTCTATTTTTGATGAATTTTTAGTGCCTTTTCTGCAAGTCCTCACTTCTTGTTGTAATGACTGTGACTTTTTGTAGTAACCCCCTCTGATATGTGGCTTCTAGAGGCACAATTAGGTATATAGTTAGAATCTGCATTAACCTATAATTAAGGATATAAACTGCATGAAATCACACACATCAGGAAATCCTATTTCCTCTGTAAAACAGTATTCAAGCATACACCCTCACAACTCTTCCTCAGTTGTGGCTGTACCAGTGCTGCCAGGTACAGCCAAGCAGGCTGTGCACTGCACAACAGATGGTGCCCTGGTATTACGCAACACTGATGCCTGCCCTCTCCCTCCACACACACACATTTAAAAAAGAAAAAAAATCCTAGTTTGTCCCATGGAAAAATCACAGGAAGTTATTGGAATAATCATGAAAGGTTTTACATACAGTTAAAGCATAGTCCTCTTTCTTAAAATTTGACTTCTTAAATTTACTTCTTTTTGGAGCCTCTGTAACCATTTCTGAGTAAGATACTTCAAAGGACAGCTCTTCAGTTTCTGGTGGAATATTTTTTTTCAGATAATCATCATCTAAAAAAAAGGATGTATAATTTTTATATGCCATTTAATCAATCAATATCATGTACTGTAAAATAAGCACAAAGTATTTCTAAGTTAACCTATAAGCACATCAGAATGCTTACATCCAAGGAACAGAATCAGACTCACCTAGAGGATTTCAGTTAAACAATAATGTGGGGTCATCGGACTCCCATATGAATGAATTTCTATAATTATTTTTTTAAGATTTTATTTATTTATTTGAGAGAGAGAGAATGAGAGATAGAGAGCACGAGAGGGAAGAGGGTCAGAGGGAGAAGCACACTCCCTGCTGAGCAGGGAGCCCGATGTGGGACTCGATCCCGGGACTCCAGGACCATGACCTGAGCTGAAGGCAGTCGCTTAACCAACTGAGCCACCCAGGTGCCCTGAATTTCTATAATTATTATCCAAACAAACTTTCTATTTCATCTGATGTTTTTAATCTTAGATTTTTATATCTCATAAAAGGCACTGAGGATTACTACAGAAAAGCCCACAAATGAGGTCTTTCTTCTATATGATATAACAGTTAAGTCCATCTAAACCCAACGTTGCTGCTCCTGGAGAAGCAGAAGCTTAAGGCAGAAGGAGAACAGGCGAAGACCCCACAAGAATTCCTGCCTAAATTCACTTCTCTTGTTGTTTCTCCCAAACTATGGGATGTTTGTCACTTTGGATGTGTTCAAATTCAATTTGGACTACACTGCTAGGTTAGCTCATGTAAATTGATCCAAATTCTTGTGATTTGACTTGGCTACCTGACCTCATATGCTGTTTATTAAGAAACAGCCAAATGGGTGACAAGAAATGTCCCACATTCTCCGCGAGGTAGGTTGAAATTAAGACAATAGATTCCTTGACCAAAAACAAGTGAATCCAGAAATCATTTGAGTAATCCTAAACTCTGATTTCTGACTAAGATTTGGCTTGCTGGAAAAACTGTTCATATGCAGTGAAAAAACAATTTGATTATAAAAAAGAGAACTCATCTCTTTTACCCTCCTCTATAGACAGTGACTACAGGACAACCAAATAGGACAAAAAGAACAACGACAACAACAACAACAACAAGAAACAGAAGACCTAATTAATCTTACATTAAAAGTTAAAACGGGAGAAATTTGCAAACCAACAGATTTTAAAATTTTAAACAGAAATACTAAACAAAAATACAATACTCAAGTGGAAGAGGCCCAGTTAAAAGCCAACCCTGTAGCCTTGTATGTTAGAGCTGCTCTGGTGCTGTATACACTGGAGCATAAGGAGAGATTTTTGGAAGCGTCCTACTTCCCAGCCCATTCGCCACTATTAAGCAGATCCAGATTACTTGTGAAAGAGACCTCAAATCAAAGATACTACCCAAGTGAGTAGTTTCTAAATGATGTGATGGTAGTGAAGGAGAAAAAGATTCTGCTTCCAATTTGGCTCAATTAATTTTATCTGGTATGACAGAATGGGGTGTTTGGAGCTGGCAGGGAGTGAGTGCTGGAGTGATAGAATCAAAATGGGGAAAACAAAAACAAAAACCCACACATTTTGCCTTGACAAAGTCACTGCTAACTGTACTGAGTGCCAGAACAAAAGCGAGAAGACACAGCTTAAGTTCAGTATAGAAGGATGTGTCACTCACCACTCATTGCACTCTGAACTGACTGTCCAGGGTCTGGAGATCCGTTGGAATGAACTGGTAGAGCTGGAATAGTCTCAAGTATAGACTGTGAAACAAGGAAAGATGAATACAAGACATTTTACCATAAAAATACAGGCTACCCCACATTCCAATCTGATTTATGTTCTGCAGTTTACAGAAGTTCTTTCCACACAAAGCAATTCTTGATTTCATACAGGGCTTGCACCTGATTTCCTGTTTCTATGTTCAGTCCAGACCTGTACAGCTCCAAGGGTTTCTCAACAGAGAACTGTGTCAAGGTCAAAATAACTGTGTCTAGGTCAAAATAACTGTGTCTTCTTAGCTCTTGAGAACTTGTTGCTCATACTCTTCCTAAGATGTAAAAATGACAATGCGTGATGTCACATAGTTTGATAAATACAGTATTTGTTATTCTTGATGTGGTAGTCACACATATTGGTCTTAAATTTCAGGTGATGACATAGCTAGATGGCTAATGGAAAGGACCCTGAGGCTAGACTGCTGGGATTCTAATATAGGCTCTCCCACTTACTGTGTGACTTTGAGCAAGTCACTTGAGTTCTCTATCACTTAATCTCCTACTCTGTAAAATGATGATAATAAAACATATTCAAAGAGGTACTATGAATTTTAAATGACTTGTTCTGTAATCACATCAAACAATATTGGATACACACTGAGCACAATATGAGGGTTGGCTACTGTTAGTAATTAACATATTAATTCCTCCATGACAAAATACAGAGTGATAATAACTACCAAAAACTTAAGTATGTTTTCTAGTTCAGTTTCTAATTTGCTACTTTCTTTACCAAGATCCCGCCAAAGCATTGTCTTCCCCTGCAATATTATCAGAAGTTGAGTATCTTTTCTTTTTTAAAAAAGATTTTATTTATTTGAGAGAGGCAGAGAGCATGGGGGGCGGTGGTTAGCAGGAGGAGGAGAAGCAGACTCCCTGCTGAGCAGGAAGCCTGATGCAGGGCCAAAGGCAGATGCTTGACTGACTGAGCCACCCAGGTGCCCCAGAAGTTGAGTATCTTTGTAAAGCCCCATGAAGCAAGTCAACTGCTCAAGTCTGGATGGGTATTAGTAAAAAAAAAAAAAAAAAATTATACACCAATCCTACCATTTCTGCCAATATAAATTTTAATGTGGTAGTTATTATCTATGAATGTGTGTGATGATGAAAATCTGGTATTCAATCAGCAATCTTTTATGTACTATTCAATATAAAGTCTGTTCATTTTTTTCCCCAGAGCCTGATGTTGTTACTTTTATTCTCATATTTATTTAGCAATAACTGAACACATGTTTCATGAAAGACTCTTTACAAATTACAAAAGGGAGTCTCGAATTCTGAGCCTTGTGTTCTCTTTTTCCTATTTTATTTCAAAGGAGAAGACACACTTGTAATTGTGTAAAAATCATGTAAATACATGGCCAGTTATTAAAACATAGATTCCCAATTCCTATAATTGGTAGAAGAATGAAAAGACATAAAAAGGTCTAGAGCCATACAAGTCATTGTCCATCAGATTTTTGGTAGCTCTAAAAATGAAACTACAGAATAAAGATTACTGGTACACTAAAATCCTTAAAATGATATGGACCACTTTTCAGTGGTCTTCTGAAGTTTTCCAAAAAGAAATGCTTTCTCAAACTTTGAAATAACTCACCTATGGGAGACAACACTCTTGAAAACTGAGAGACATTTATTTAAAGGCTGCAACTGATGGTTTGGGATGCTTAAGCCTACGAATGTCAGTTTCTTGATCTGTGAAGTGGAGAAGTGTCCAATTTGCTGAGTTGATTTACTGGTCTCTAGCCAGCCCTACTGGACTGATGGAGTGCCTGCCCTTTGTAATGTAAATTATTCTGCGGCTATCTTGGGGGAGGCAGAAATTTAAATTGTGATTCCTGCTCTTGAGCTATTATTTATAATGAGGAGTTACAGAGTAACATTTATGGAACATTATTAAAAAACAATCAACCCACTGTTAAGAGCTAATTTCTACAACACAACTATGTGTTTATTGGACGATAATGGAGAAGAAAGAGGTGCAGCCTGGAAGGGTTTCACCCAGAGGTGGGTGAACTTGAGCTGGAGCTCAAAGCATGATGGAGAGGACTTACAAACACAGAGGCAGCTGACAAAAACATTCGAGCCCAAAATGGAGGTATAAATTTCAGGTATGGAAATATCTGAAACATTTCTGCTACAAGGAATTGTGGAGACACCGGCATGCCAAGAGTTGAGGCAAGGTATTAGAAAAATATGAAAAATAAATTGGTCAAGATGGTCAGCTCAAATCACGGAAGGCTCGGAAAGCCAGGTAGAGAAGAAGAGACACTCATAAGGGGTAAAACAAAAGAGAACAAAACAAAAAAAGGAACATTCATGTGTTAAAGTAGGGGAACGATGTGGTAAAAATGAAAAAATGAAAAAGGAGAATACTGCCATTAAATGGACTTTGAGTTCTTAAGTAGGTTGAGTGAAAAGGCTAGGTGCTTGGTATTTATAGTTTTAAAACATCCACTTACCCATTCAACATATTAACACTAGCATCATTTTAAAATTTTTACTAGTTATTTTAATATATTTGAAATATTAATGCCACTCCCATTTAAAACACACTTCCTTTGCTTGTCCATAACAGATCCTACCATTTCCCTATGTGCCCATCCACAACAGGCTGGGGCTTCAGTTGGTGGGAAAGTCAAGGTTTTCCAGCCAGTGATGCTTGCTCTGCCACCCAAATCACACAGCACTGGGATTGGAGAGTAGAATATATGGGGGATGATTATTCTGAATTCCAATCTATAGAAGGTTGGCACTACCTGCCTGAGTTCTCTCAAAACTAGACTTTGTATGATATTTTCTTCACATGAAAGAAACACCATGCCTAACATTTTTCATGTTCATTACTTATAGGAAAAATTCACTAACTCAAAAGATGTTTCTGACCTTCCTGGCTAGCTATTTCTTTTTTTCTCAAGGTTTGAGTCAGTGTGTTATAACTCTGTATAAAAGCTGCCTTGAGTTAATACAGATAATAAGGTTCCCTTTCTATACCTGAGATCAGAACTGATAAATCTACATCTTGCCAAATTCCCCAGAGATAAATATTTATTTTTAAATTGAAGTATAATTAACATACAGTGTCATATTAGTTTCAGGTGTCCGATATAATGATTCAACATATCTATCCATTTTTCAGTCTTTATCGAGATAAGTGTACCCCTCATCCCCTTTATCTATTTCACTCATCCTCCCACCCACCTCCCCTCTGCAATGCCACTTTGTTCTCTGTACTTAAAAGTCTGTTTTTTGTCTCTTTTTATTTTGTTCATTTGTTTGGTTTCTAAAATTCCACATATGAGTGAAATCATATGGTATATGTCTTTGTCTGTATGACTTACTTCACTTAGCATTACACCCTGTAGGCCCACCCATGCTGTTGCAAATGGCAAGATGTTATTCTTTTTTATGGCTGAGTAACATTCCATTGTATACATGTATACCACAATCTTTATCCATTCACCTATTAATGGACACTTGGGTTGCCTCCATATCTTTGCTATTGCAAATAATTCTGCAAACACAGGGGTGCATATAACTTTCTGAATTAGTATTTTTTTTCCTTTGGGTAGATACCCAATACTCCAGAGATAAACTTAAATAAGTAACATTCACTGGCAAATATGCAATCAACTTTGAAATAAAACATAGTAACAATTACAAAATCTATCCAAATTGAATTTAAAGTCATTCCAATAATATCCTGGATTAAAAATTAAATCACATGTGAAATTATAAGCTAAATGTTAGACAATAAGAGCATTAAATTCCAAAAACCCATGATAAAAGCTAAACTATTATTCAGAGATTAATTCTTAGCCTTAAATGCAAATAAGAAAGATTAAAAATAAATATGTTTATAATCCAAGAGACTTAAAAACATTATACAAGTAGAACCAAGAAGGAATGAAAAATTAATAAGGATTAAATAAATTAATACAATAGAAAAAGTAGGCTTCATTAATTAAAGGAAGTGACTTCCTAAAAAATATTGCTGATACAGGCAACTATTTACAGTTCTAAATGGGATAAAAGACATAAATATTAGGAAAATAAAAGGAGAAATAGCTACCTAACAGAAAACTTTAAAATTATACACCTAAATAAGTGTGTGTATATTTGAATATATGAGTGTATACACAAACAACATATATTGAAAATGTTAAATAAACTGAATGTTTTGGGGCAACTGGGTGGCTCAGAAGGTTGGGCGTCTGCCTTTGGCTCGGGTCATGATCCCTGGGATCCAGCCCCACGTCTGGCCTGCTTCTCCCTCTCCCTCTGCCTCTCCCCTGCTCATGCTCTCTCTCTCTCTGTCTCAAATGAATTAAAAAAAAAAAAATCTTAAAAAAATAAACTGAATGTTTTGCAACAACAAATATACATTACTAAAACTCATACCATTTGGGATATAAAGGAATATAACTCTAAAACCATATCCATTGAAAAAGTAATCAAAACACTATGTCTACACTGATGCCAGGTCTTAGTGGTTTCATAAACAAATTACAATACAAACTTAAATATAATGGATTTTATAGATTATATATTTACACCAAATTTTAGTATATGGTTCTAAAACATGGAAAAAAGGTTCAAAGTTCTTAACATATTTGTACCAAGATTAGTATAACTCTGTAACAACAAAAAGAAATTATATATATGCTAACCCCACTATTAGAATCCTACTAATAGAATAGTTGTTAAAAATGCTAAAATAGTACAAACTGATATTCCATAATGTAATAAAAGAATAATATAATACAAGTAGGTTTTATTTAGCAACAAAATTATAGTTCAATATTAGAAAGACCTATCAACAGAATTTCCTAAGGTAATTGCTTAACAAAGATAAATATATTCATTTTAATAGATGATGAACAATTACTTTATATAATTCAACCTCCATTCCTGATAAAAATAATTACAAGGCTCAGAAACCTAGAACTAGTATTCTACTTAATAATGAAACTTGGAAGACTTCATGAGCAAATCAAGAACTTATCAAAAGATCCCCATAATTATTATTCAATGTAACAAGTGATTATGGCCAGTCCAATAAGACAGGGAGAAGAAATAAAATGACAATTTTAAAGAATGAGTAATGAAAACTTTCACTATTTCAGGTGATTATCTGTACAAATTATAAAGTCAAATGAAAAGTTCTTAGCAGTAATAATTTTCAGAAAGAAAGCTATAATAGTTTTTGTGAGAAACCAAATAATTTACTTTCCTTACATCTCTGCAAAAACAAACCAGAAGATGAAAAAACCTACCATTTTAAAATGTCAATGAAAACTATTAAGTTCCTAAGTAATTAATCAATGAAAAATATATATGGAAAAAAATGTAAGAAAGATTATGAACTTTTACGGGAAGGACAGAAGACATAAATAAATGGAAAAACACAATTATTATTTCTCAGTGGCATGAGTCAATATTTTAAGATGTGAATTCTCTCCCCAACATTAATCGTTAAATTCAGTGAAGTTCTTAGTGAAGTCCTACCAAGATTTATTTAATGGGTGGTTATAGCATTATCCTAAGTTCATCTGGAAGTAAAAATTCCTGAGAAGAGGAAAGAAAATTTTGATCCAGAACAATGAGGGTGAACACATCCCAACAGATTTCAAAAACAAACCGCAGAGTCATAGTAATTATGATAGACCCCATATACAGGTTCATTTATCATAAAATTGACATTTCAAATGTATAGAAAAGATGAAAGATTGAACAAAAAAAGAAACAGTATTTGTCAAGCCACAGTTACCCTTTTAATAAAGTTAGGTTGCCAACTTTAAAACATTCCACAACACCCAACTCCAAAGGGAAAGTGGCTAGGACCCTCTGAAGTCTTGAAGATGACAATAAAATGTCCCTGGGAATTTATACTGCCAGGTGAGATTTACTTTACAAGAGTCATGGCCAGAGCCTTGAAGCCCTTGCTAACACTTCATTGAATTACTAGAAATGCTATCATCTAGAAGAAACTTAGGAACCAAACTGGGGTGCCAATGGCTCCTTATAACCAAGAAGCAGGGAAGTCAAAATGTATTTCCCTCATGGTAAGAAGTTCTAGAATGATTTTTAGTACAGATGCAGTAAGGGTTGAGTTCTCATCTGTGGGCTGGCTACTCTAGCAACTAACTAATTTGTTTAACATTTCTAAGTAAAGATATTCTGAGTAACAAGCAATCCAAAGTAAGTCAAAATGGAGACTGGTACCAGTAAGATTTTTTTGAGTCTCAATACTGCTGAAACTTTTATTTATATCATAATCAGCATTCAATCAGTTTTCAGAAAAACAAAATCCGAATGATTAACATACTCCAGGAGACGCTATCTATAACTGCTACATAAGATCACCATCTTTCTCTTACACTCTCAAACTTTCAAGAATCTTATTTGCAGACAATCTGTATCTAATAAGGACTTGGTGAATAAATGAATGGATCAATGAAGCCTAGAAAATAAGGCCAACCCCAAATCCTCCTCAGCAACTTAATTCTGCAACTATTCTGCTTCAGGTGTTACTTGGTGCGTGCATGGAACCACATGCAGTCCTTTGCTGGCTCATATAAAATGCCTAGGGCAGAAAAGTCAGCTAGAGACAGAAGGGGTCAGACTGTGTCAGGAGCTTTTATGTCACCTAGAAGATGTGGGGGGACTGCAGCAGGCATTAAAACAAGGCTTGTATGTTTAGATCAATGACTTGCAGCTGTGGGAAGGATGAGTTTAAGGGGTATACACTAAAGTCAGGGAGATCACTTTTGGGGCTACTTCAGTAACACAGGAAGATGATTTGTTTCTGTACTAAGGAAGTAGTTACAGGAAAAGAGGGGAGTAGAAATATTCTATAACTCTTTACAAGACAAAATCCATAGTTCTCAGAGATGGGCACATAGAGGGGAGGGGAGCACGTAGGCAGAGTTGAGGCGAATGCTAGGGATGGTGCCCTGGGCACACAGTACCACCAGCTGAGACACAATATACAAGATCCTGTGCAAAAGCCTTAGAGCAGGAGTCTTCAGGCAGAGAGGCACAGCACAACTGTGAAAGGTCTCTCATAGGTAACTCCACACTTCAGTAGTTATCAGAGTTTGTGAGTGACTTACTTTTTCACCCATCAGTAAGTAGGGTGCACTGGAAAGTATCTCTAAAACAGACATCCTCACTCATTTGCATTCCAATGCACAATCTTAAATAGGAAAGTAGCAGCCGAATGTAGAGCCAGTAGGTCAGCCATTGTGGGTAAGTCCTAGTCCACCTCTGCCATAACCTATAGGGCTACTGATAAGTTACTCATTGACAAATGTCACTCACATTCTTCTGTGCTTCTTATATGATCACTGTGTAACAAAGCAACCTCAAAACCAAAAATCTAAGAACACAACAGAAAAGCTCCCTCACCTAGGGCTAACAGGGATCTACTGAGAGTGTGCTATGCATGTGAACAACGTGAACATCAACCATCCTTGGTCTCCAACTGGATGACAGATGAGAAACTACTGCTCAGAGGTCCATGTGAATATGCCCACTCCATCTATCTGCCTGACTGATGTGCTCTTGCCTGCCATCAACTCGCTATTGAATAACCACAACCTCATTGAACAGGGTCTCTCACTACTTCTGGTCCACTGTATCACCCCCTGCCAGAGCACCTGCACAGAGACACCAAGTGGGGATGTCCAGTGGTTCTGGGGAGGGGGGAGGAAATGATAAGACTTTCTGATCAAAAAAAGTACAAGTTCTGTTACTCAAGGCCAAGGAGTGAATGTGTCAGAAGTGGAGGATGTATATGGGTAAGTCCTGAGATCTAAGGCAATAGTGCCTTCAATATCAGGATGAGGGCTTTTTAATTTATCCCACAGGGAAAAAGGACTTCCGGGTTAAATGGCAGAATTAGGCCAGATTACTGATGTGAACTCAGCCAAGAGGATCAAAGGTAACAGATTCCTCTGGGCTTGATACACAAAAAGAACATCCTTTGGTTTCTGACCACAGTGGTATTAATTTATGGAGTCCTCTTTTAAACTGAGATTTAGTCATGCCTCAGTCTTGAGTCTCCTACTTCCTAACTGTTAAAATGTTGGTGGGTCTCCTGGCAGCTGTGGTTTCTTCACAATCTCAGTTCAAGTTTTCCTTATCTGTTTTAAAGAAACTGCTTCTTCTTGCCTTGAACTTGTAACTTTGCCCTGATGCGCAATTGTTTTGGCATGTGATGACTTACCACAGGGCCACTCCTAGGAACTGCAAAACTCCCTTCTTCATCTTGGGAACCATCTGACAGGGTGGTACTGTTGAGGGAAGCATCATCTGGCTAAATGGAGAAATAAAAGTACCATTTTTATTCAGGCAAACACTTCTAACATGTGTATTACACCATGTGTATCTGTTTAGACGTGTGTGACACTCTACGAAGTTGTGACTGCCTGGGCAGGGACAGCTGCATCCAGTCCTTCAGGGAACATCACTATGAGTACCTAAATGCCAGGCCCTTTGACAGACACTGGCCCTTGTAGCTGACACTGTTATTGCCTGCCACAAACTCCTTTTCCCTTAACAATGTCTTGGTTCGATTCCAGGGAGTTAAACCAAAGAACTTCATTTCCAGGCTTCTTTGCAGCTGAGTGATCCTGTGACAAGTGTCGTCAATGAGAGGTAAGTGTAATTTTAGTAAGACTGCTTCTAGAACAGCTAAGGCCTTCCTCAGCAAAAGGAAGAGGGTCAGCTCATGTACACTCATGACAGCACTGTAGATGACAGCCTAGAGTTGCCAGGTATCTTGTTCGAATAAGGACGATGGCCATGGCAATGGACAGCAGAGGTGGAAGATCAAGCCCACCTGGGTTTGTGCTAAGACATCATGTAATGCCCCATCAGACTCGGAAATTTTGCGAAATAACTCCAACCCTTCCATGACATATGGCTAAACATGTTGAATCTTAGTGTTGAAACACACCCTATGATTATCTCTTGCAGTAACTAGAATTCAGTAGCAATAGTACCAGGTTATGTTTTTCATTTATAAAGCTAGAAATAAGAGATTTTTGATGTAGTGGACAATGGCTTCACTAAAATTTAAGACATAAATATTCTTTTCTTTACTGAAGGAAGCTTATTGCAAAACAGAATGTATTTGATACTTATGAAAATATACAGTGTTTTGTTTTTTAAAAACTGTCAGGGCACCTGAGTGGCTCAGTTGGTTAAGTGTCTGACTCTTGATTTCGGCTCAGGTCGTGATCTCGGGGTTGTGAGACTGAGCCCCGTGTTGGGCTCTGCACTGGGCATGGAGCCTGAGATTCTCTTTCCCTCTCCCTCTGTTCCTCCTTGTCACCTCTCTCTCTCTCCTTCTCTAAAAACAAAACAAAACAAAAAACCTGTCACTCACCTTGCTTGACCACATCGTCCACATTTCTTATAGATAGCAGGCATTACTTTATAAAATGAACAAAGAAGTTTTTGAGAGAGAGAAAGAGAGAGAACATGTGCACTCGGGTGCGGGGAGGGGCAGTGGGAGAGGGAGAGAAAGAGTCTTAAGCAGGCTGCACACACAGCATGGAGTCCGAAGCTGGGCTTGATTTCACGATCCTGAGACATGACCTGACCTGAAATCAAGAGTCGGCCACTTAACTGCCTGAGCCGCCCAGGCGCCCAAGAACCTTTTTTTTAAAGGGACAAATAAAACATGAGAACTAGTATAAGATGGTGGACTGACAATTACCTACCTTCCCTCCCACCCTCATCACTAAAAATGGCAGAAAACATATATAAAACATATATATATGTTTATATACATATAACATATGTTTATATTTATATATTTATATATATGTCTTATATAACATATATATATATAATTTTTTTTTAAAGGAGGTCATTTTGATAGCACTGGAAACCACAGCGGACCAACTCCGAAATTTCTAGATGAAAAGCAGATAGAATTGGTTTGGTAAAATAAAAACCTCTACCTAAGAGTAGCATAAAAGAAAATTTCTAGAGAGGGAGGAAAAAACAAACAAATAACAGAATTGTACAAGGACTATGAAAGGGTCCCGGGTAAATAGTTAAAAATGTTTGCAAAATAGAAGCCAAGAAGACCGACCTCTTAAATATATAGACAACCCCTAAATATAATACAGGAAAATCCCCCAATATGTAGTCTAAATAAAATGAACTAACTGCCTTGGGGGCCGGGATCCTAGCATGAGTATACGGGTCTAAGAAAAAAGGAAATCAGGAGGCCTAACAAAAGACATGGAGGGGAGACTGAAAGGAAATCAGTTTTGCCTGGAAATCAGTTTTGCCTGGAAAGTTCCCTGTCATTGGTTTGGCATCTGTGGATAATGTTTACTAACCTACCTGCCTCCTCTACACACTTCAAAGTTAAGTACACCCAACTTCCAAGAACACACAATCAATAATTTTAGCCTTTGGGGAAACTGATCTACTCAAGTGCAGAGGAAATATACAGCAATTTTCTCATCAATTAAAAATTAATAAAGTCTGTGCCATGATTCTGCAGAGAACTTTAGGGGCCCACAGAGCTGTATAATTCCACCTGAGAGTGTGCTGGTACCTTCCACCTTGTAGAACACTTTCTACCCTATGCTTCCTTGGATGGAGCGTCTGGTGGATCATCTCATCCTCTTGCTGTTGACAGTATTCTCAAGGGACATCAGTACAAGGGAGGGACTAAGGAGCTGGAAAGGGAAAAATGCCCTGGATCCATAGTCCTGGTCAGAAGCTCTCTCTGCACTGGAGGCAAAACCTAAAACCTGAAACACTTACTGTCACTCAACGGGAGATGGGCACTTCCCTGACCAGACAGATGGTTCTCACACTCGGGGAGACACTTCACTGTTTGCGTCACTTATTATTACACATTCCAAAAGTTGACACTTCTCCACACAAGATGTTTATATTTGAAAAATAACTGGGAAAAAACCTAAATATTTATATCTAAGTTGATACTGAAAATATTGAAAAAAATTTATATGGCAGTCTATTATTTTTATGTATGAGCTCACCCCTGAGGACCAAGCTTTAGTTGACAACATCCTCTACTTGGAATACATACACAAAAATTAGTTTTTGTTGGGCGCCTGGGTGGCTCAGTCGGTTAAGTGGCTGCCTTCGGCTCAGGTCATCATCCCGGGGTCCTGGGATCGAGCCCCGCATCGGGCTCCCTGCTCGGCGGGGAGCCTGCTTCTCCCTCTCCCTCTGCCTGCCTCTCTGCCTACTTGTCCTCTCTCTGTATCTCTCTGCCAAATAAATAAATAAAATCTTTAAAAAAAAATTGGTTTTTGTTGTTGTTTCTCCCTATAGATGCTTTTAGAATTTAGTTATTTTTTATTTAGGACCTACTAAACTATTCCTTGCTGAGTTTATGAGCTATGGGTGATGACCTGTGGGTGGCTTGTTTGCCAAAAATCTGAATTACATTGCATCCTTACTCAAGAGAAATGACAATACACATCCTTTACGTGAAATCAATGTTCATGGTGGCATTAGGCATAACTGCTCAAAACTGGAAACAATCCAAATGTCCATCATCAGGTGAACAGATACACCAATAGTAGTATATTTATGTAATGGATTACTAGTAGGAGGAATAAAAGAACCAAACTTCTATCACATGCAGCAAATGTATGAATCTAAAGGTTACTGTAAGTGAAAAAAAGGCAGATACAAGAGTGCATTTTGTATTTATAGTTCTATTTATGTGAGAGTTAAAACCAACCTAAGGTGTTAGAAATCACCACAGGGCTTGCCTGGGTAGGAGCAGGAGGACAATTGGCTGGAAAGGGCCTCAGAGAGATTTCTGTTGCGATGGAAATGTTCTGTTTTGATGGACTTGGTTATATGGGTAAAAACATATGTTGGAACTAATTGAATTACACACCTAAAATACATGCACTTACAGTTTGTAAATTATACCTCAGTAAAAAACATAAAAATAATGTGATTCCTTAAAAAAATTTAATTCTTCTCTTCAGTGTGATTTAAGGGGCTATTGCTGCTATGAACCAAGAACCCACAGCTGCAATAATGGGGAAAAAGATGTTCTTGAGAAATAAGAATTTGTTTACTGAAATTTAGAAAAAGAGTGAGACAAGGTAAAAAACTACATTCATGACCAAGAAAAAAACCCACTAATCTGGAAAATAAAGATGAAGAAACAGAGCAAACAGACTAACATGAGAGGAAATTTAGAAGATACTGAAATTCAGGGGCGCCTGGGTGGCTCAGTTGGTTAAGCGTCTGACTCTTGATTTTGGCTCAGGTCATGATCTCAGGGTCGTGAGATGGAGCCCTGCATGAGGGTCCACACTGGGAGTGGATAAGATTCTCTCTCTCTCCTTCCCTCTGCCCTTTCCTCTCCCTCCTCCCCCATCTCTAAAAAAAATAAGAAAGAAGAAGATACCGAAATTCAATTCAAACATGGCAACAACCATCTAATATGTGCTCTAGAGGGTGGGGGGGGGGACACAGAAAATAGGGAGAAAAAAATGACTTAAGACATAACAGAAGACACTGACCAGAAACTAGAGGGGAAAAAAACAGTTCTCAGGTGGAAAGAACTTGCCGAGCAGAGACCAAAATGAATAAAATAAACGGCAGATCCTCATGAAAGTTCAGAACTCCAGGAACAGATTCGAAATAAATTAAAAATTCAAAAATTGGCAGGGTAAACAACAACAAAAAAAACCTCATTTATGAAGGAATGAGATTCAGGCAACTAAAATAAGAAAAGAAAAACAAACGATGTTAAGAGTGCAAAAGTCAGTCAATTAGCAATAAGAGAAATTCTACCATAAAGGTTTTCCAGGACAGCTAAGGTTTTCTATTAGTAACGGTTAGTCAGGTGACACATGTTCCTATCGGGAACATCAACATAGTATCCAGAGTTTGCTAACCATCTTGTAAGCATAAGGATTAAATCCGCATGCTATGGTGGCAGCATAAAAGTAAAAAGGTAGAAGTTCATGCTAAGGCTGGCATTGCGTTGTATTGCAGTTGTACCAGCGATGGTCTACCCACCAGCAGTTACTTGTTTTGTGATTAAAACAAACTCCTACTTCTTTAAATCAAAGTTCTTTAGATTTTCTTTTCCACAAAACAGAGATGTAACTGACATTGTTTTTAACAGATGTTATGATTGTATTCTGCAGTGAATTAGGAATCAATAGCAAGTGCAGCCACTTGATTTTCACCTAAGACACTGGAAATAAACTAGATCAACTACTTTGCTTTTTTAATAGACTAACACCTCGAATGACTAATTCATTTTGGTGGACTGCACATCTTACCTATACAAGAAGTGATTTGTAGAGGTTTGTTACGATGTTAGACTGCATTGTAAGACTTTTGTAAATGCCAAATTCAGTGGCATTTGTGATTTAGAGTCAAGAGTCAACTGCATATAATACCTAAATAGACTATTTATTTTAAGTAGCTTATTGCAAAATAAACACTTTGGATATTAATTAAATCATAAGATGTCATGTGGACTCTTTTAAGGGTTTATTGAGCTATGACATACAATTAACTGCAGATATTTAAAGAGTAAAGTCTACAGTTTGTTGTTGTTCTAACAAATATGTAGGCCTGTGAAACCATCACCATAGTCAAGATAATGAACAAAACCAGCACCACAAAAATGTTCTTATATCTCTTTGTTAACCTCTCCTTCCCTCCTCTCCTCATCCAACCCCAGGTCCCTGGGCAATCACAATCTTCTTTCCCTCACTATAGGTTAGTTACATTTTCCATAATTTTACATAAATTGAATCTTTTTGGTCTGGCTTCTTTCACATGGCATAACCACTTTGGGATCCATCCCTGTTGTACGTATCAATGGTTCATTGCTTTTTATCGCTGAGTAATATTTTGTTGTATGGATATGCCAGAATTTGTTCATCCATTTATCTGTAAGTAAAAACTGTTCCCAGTTTTGGGCTATTATGCTAGAAACATTTGTGACTCAGTCTTTGTATGAATATGTATTATGTATGAGTAGAACAGCTGGGTCTGTGGTAGGTATATGCATAACATTTTAAGAAACTGCCACATTATTTTCCAAAGTGGATGGACCATTTTACATTCCCACCAGCAATGCAGGAGAGCATCAGCTGTTCTGCACCCTTAGCAGTCTTTTTAATTTTAGTCATTCCACAGGTTATGTGGAAATATCTCACTGTGGCTTTATTTGTATTTCCATAATCACTAGTGATACTGAGCACCCTTCATGAGTTTATTTGCCATCCACATCTTTTTGGGTGATGTGTCTATTCAAATCTTTTTCCCATTTTAAAAGATGAGAAAAAGAAACAATCTTCTACCACTGGAAAGCTTAAGGTATATTCTTGAAAGAGAAAGTTGATTTGTTTTCAGAAGTAAAGGATTTGTGCACTTAAGTTAAGGGAACTAAAGGTTAAATACCAGCAGGGAGCAGATTAGGGATAATTTTTAATATCAAAAAAAACTTTATATTATTTCTATAAACAATTGGGGTTATATTCTGGGATTAAATGGGAAAGTTAAGTCAGATGATCAAACCTCTCTTTCCTAAAACCTAATACGGTGAACAAAACATAACTTAAAAATAGGAAAAAAGATTCCCAGCAACATTCACATGAGTGGTGATTGGAGAGAGAGATATTCCAGGAATAACATAAATTCTTTTCTATAATCCAACCCCCTTCCCCATCAAAACAGCACTAATGAAGAAAAGCAAATGGAGAAAATTTTTAAAAAGACAACCATCATGTCCAAATTATGAGGAAAGACAACAAAAAGTGAGTAACCACACCTGGGTTCACTATATGCACATTCAAACAAAGACTCTCCCCAACACCATCTCAACAGGGAGGAGGGAACCTACTGGGATTCACCATTCTGCCTTTTTTTATCTGGGAGGAAGTTAGGAGAGGGATTATGAGGACAGAAAAATAAAAAAAGAAAAGAGACTACATAACTTCCACCAAACGAGAGAAAAGATAACTTAAAGTAGGAGTGCACATAGAAACCTGTGAGAAAATGCTCTGAGCTAAACCATAAATGAAGTCACCTTTCCTAGTTGGAAATAGATAATCAGCTCCATCCTCCTCCTCAGGCTTGCCTGACTGTGCCCTCCTCTGGGTCACCTGGGAGGAGGAGTGGGGATGGGGCAAGCAGGGAGACGGGGGAGGGAGGGAGGGAGCACTGGATACCTGGGGTTACATGTATGGTCAAAAGAAAGGCGCCTGATCGTCACCTTGCACTGGACAAACAATAGAAACCTGAGGACACCTGCTTCTCCTCCAAGAGATGGACCTATGGATCGATAGAATGAACACTCTTATGAGAATTTTTTAAAACAAAAGAAAAAATGTAAAGGAAATAAATCTGCCCCAGAAAAGGCCTACAGTCATAGGTTCTCTGGGTATTTATCTGTTTTTAAGAGCATGCAGTTATTTGTGGGTTTAACTATTAAACTTGGCTTTATTTACTGCTGAATGTTTTCCTGCAAATTGAGTAAAGGTGGATAGGTATGTTGAGAGCTGTAGCTATCCAGCCATCTTAATTATGGTGCACTGTTCTGAAGTTTTGCCTGATTATCTTGAAAAAATGACTTCTTTTTTTTTTTTTAAGATTTTATTTATTTGACAGAGAGAGAGACAGCCAGAGAGAGAACACAAGCAGGGGGAGTGGGAGAGGGAGAAGCCTTCCTGCTCTGCAGGAAGCCGGATGCGGGGCTCAATCCCAGGACCACGGGATCATGACCTGAGCCGAAGGCAGATGCTTAACCATCTGAGCCACCCAGGCACCCCGAAAAAAATGACTTCTTCGTTCATCCCTACCCCAGGTTATCCTGCTGTAACTTACCAAGGAACCACTTGTTTTGATAACTCCTGGCAGCTCTTTTTCCTCCTGGGTTCCATCCAACTGAGCAGGATGGTTGTCACAGGTATCACCTGGCTAATGAGAGAAATAAAGTCATTTTTATCCAGGCATATCTGTCCCAACATGACTGTTTATTCCATTATACATTATATAAGACTCTTCAAATGTATAGCCATGTGGTGATAAACGGAGTTAACGACTACCTGTGCAATGGTAATGGCATTCACCAATTCATCCACAATTAATACTGATCCTCACACATGCCGTGCATTACAGCATAAGTTGTTCTCAAAATCCACTGTTAATTGCCTGCCAAAATCCACTTTTCTTTTCTTCTTTAACTTATGAATATCATGATCTGCTCCAAAGATGCTATGTCTAAACTAAAAAGACTAAAGTGTGATCATGTGATGGTTATGACCAATGAGATACAAGTAGACTCCTACTTGCTAGAGCATCCAGGAAGGCTAATGTTTTCTTGTTAAAGTGGATAAAATCTGCTGGCTGATGCTGCTGCTTCTTCACATGGACAGAGTGTCTGTGATGCCCAGATACTTGATAAGCATTAAATATTAGCCCACAGGCTAAGTGGAGCAGACTGGAAAGATGAAAAAGTTGGTAGATCCATCCTAGGGATATCAGCCACACCAGCCTCAGACTTCTTATTTTATAAGGACAATATCTCTAATCATCTAAGTCATGAAGCTTACTGATTAAACAAACTATGCCACTTTAAAATCAGACTTCATAACTTTTTGTAATGATTTATAAATCAGCAAGAGTGGTCAGTTTTTTTCAATCAAGAAACTAGAAATACATTAGATTGACTAACTCACAAACACATAAGACTGAACCCAAAATTTCATTCCCATTCACTGAATATTGTAAAAGCTCTGATTTTCATTATGCAGCAAGTGTGTTTGGAGACTATTCTGATTGTGATAGATGGCACTGTAGGTCTTGTGCATATGCTCTAAGATTTTTAGCAGCATTAATGATAAAATGGCATTCCCCAAAATAAGATGCAATTATTCTATTCCATGACTGAAGCAACATTTTGCCAAATTAAACATACTGGATATTAATGAAACCATAAACTGCTACGTGAGACTTCAGAAACTGTTGTATTTCACCTTGCTTTTCCATATTTTCTAACTTTCCCCCAATGTGTATGCATTATATTAAGAAAAACAGACATCTGTTTTGAAGTGGAAACAATGCTAAAGAGGCAGTACAAGAAACCAGGTCAGGACAGAGGACTGAGAGCACACCACTCACAATCACTCAGAATTTGAGAAAGGTATGTATTGTTATAAGAAGAGCTCCAAATGGCACTGGAAACCAACAAGGTGTCCTAATAACAGATGAGAAATTGTTAGAAATTTCTGGGAAATAAAATGTAAACAATGTATTTCATAATTGTACAGAACTTAGGTTAAGAACAGCATAAAACAACTTTGCTGGCAAGGAAAGGATAAATCTACAAAAAGCAAACATACAAACAATCAAGTAAGCACAGTGTGAAAATTACAAAGGGCAGGAAGGGGCCTTAGCTCAATGGCCACAATAATTTATCATGAAGTGTATCCTCAATTAAAGGGCCAGACAGACCTACCAGAGGCTCCCTTTACACCGAACAGCAGGCAGAAGCTACATATGGACCCAAGAAAAGCACTCTGGCTGAAGTGAACCACCTGCCTTGGGACGTTGCCCAGGGTTGGGAACAAAACACATCTCAGTATCAGGTAACTCTGGACCTTCATGAAAGTCATGGAAGGGAGAATAAAAGGAAAACATCAGTTTTTGTCTTGGATAGCAAGAAATGAAGCCATTCACCACTCTCCCTTTGCTGTGTGCATGTGTGTGCACACACATGTGCACATGAGTGTGGATACTCACCCATATGCACAGTTAAACTAACTTCCATTCACATACCTTACTGACTTACACAGTATCCAAAATCAGCCCCCTCATTCCATAAAGAATCCTTTGGGAAATTATCAGCAATAACACACCCTAAGTCACTAATTGGTCAATCTGATCCATTAATAAATATAAATCAATCACCAAGGACCATGAGACACTGGAGAAAATTAATGTAATGAATATTACATTAGATTGGCAATGGCAAAAAATCAACATTCTAAAAAAGTACAGTGATAAACATTCTGGGAAAAAGAATTGAGGGAAGGAAAAAGGCTTAAAATAACTTGATTTCAGAGAAATTTGAGAAGATTTTATAACCATAAATCAGGACTATCACAATAAAGTGGAAGTCAGTGAAAAAGAAGGAGTTCCTGTCAATTAACAGTATGACTACTGAATTAAAAAATCAGTAGAGGCTAAATTATAACCACTCATGGCAAAAATGAGAATTAGGAATCTCCAAAATGATACAGACAAAATCTACTAGCATACAGAACAAACAGGAAAAAAAGATAAGGAAATATACAATTTAAGAACTATGTGAGTTTAACAGGCAGGCAATGAAATGAAGAACAGGAAAATGGAAAAATAAAATAATTAAAGAAATAATGGAAAGAGAATGGCCAGAACTGAAAGAAAAGGAACATTTTTCAGCAACAAAAAGCTAAGTGTTGATCATGATTTTTAAAAAAGATGTCAGGGGCACCTGGGTGGTGCCGTCAGTTGAGCATCCAACTCTTGATTTCTGCTTGGGTCATGATCTCAGGGTCATGAGATTGAGCCCTGCATGAGGCTCCGGGCTCAGCCCAGAGTCTGCTTAGGTTTCTCTCTCTCTTTGACAACCCCCCACAACCCGCCCGCCAAACACATGGACATGAGCTCTCTCTCTCTCAAACAAAGAAATCTTTTAAAAAAATAAATTAAAGGGCGCCTGGGTGGCTCAGTTGGTTAAGCGACTGCCTTCGGCTCAGGTCATGATCCCGGAGTCCCGGGATCGAGTCCCACATCGGGCTCCCTGCTCAGCAGGGGGGGTCTGCTTCTCCCTCTGACCCTCTTCCCTCTCGTGCTCTCTATCTCTCTCTCTCTCTCAAATAAATAAATAAAATCTTTAAAAAAAAATAAAAAAAAATAAAAAATAAAAAAATAAATTAAAAAAAAAGATGTCATATCCTGATGACAGTTCAGGTCTCCTACACTAAAGATAAATGTAAAAGGCTTCCAGAAATACAAAAATGAGAGAAGGAAACAAAGGAATAAGATTTAGAGAGACATCAGACTTCTCAACATTTAATCACTATATGAAAAAGCAAACAGATTAATATTTACAAATTTCTGTAAAAAATTAATATAGGGCCTATCACTTTGATACTCACCAATTTAGGATTTATGCTTTTTGGATATGAAAATTTAGTATACACAGATACTTCTTGCCAGATTTGCTCAAAGGATAAAAGGTGCAATCTGCTAAGAAGATGTAACATTTTGTAATACATATGATTATGCGAATTAATTTTTGTACTATTCTCTGTAGTTACTCTGCTATGTTAGCCTTCACCATCTTCCTGGGAGAAAAAAGGTACTCGCTTTCTCATTCTAGAAACTAGTCAGTAGTTCTGGGGTAGGACTGGAACAAAACTTTATGTCCTCTTCCATCTCACTGTAAGATTTCTTCACATGTTTGGCCCACACTTGCCCCTTTAATTCACCTTTAAAAGGTGATAAGACCTTCAAGGAATTGAAATACATGAAAGTGATAAAAGGGAAAAGAAACAAAAGATACCTAGGCTAATCATGAGAGTCCATGGCCAGGGTGGGTGTGTTGGGTGTAGTATATAAGACTTCAAAAAAGTTCATTCTTCCGTGCTGCCTTGACATCTGGTAAAAGCGGAAGGACCATAAGCGCTCTAACTACAAGCTCCCCGCGTACTCTGGTCCCTCATATAAGGTCCCCTAGACAGACAATGCTCCTTATCCAGGGGACCAGACACAATTCCCGCTTATCCTTGAGTAAATGGGTTTCAGTTCCTTGTCAGCCGGTGGACTTATTCAAACAAGCCAATCACATCCTCCCATGGGAACCAAGGGGCACCTCACTCTCTTGATACTACACAAAGCCCGCCTCCTACCACCCCTGGTTATTCACTCTGTTCCCAAGTGCACCCTACATGTGGCTCTGTGTGGTGTCCTCCTCCCCCAGGCTGTGAGAACATGTGATAATAAATTGCTGTTGCTCTTGTCTGCCTGTTGCTGAGTGTCAAGTCACCCCTGTAACCCTAGGGTGGGAATCCCTCCCTCACCCACAGGATGAAGAGGAGGCGATCAAAATTGTAGACAGAGTCAGCTAGGATAAAAGCTGAAAGAAATCCACTATTTGAAAACACTGGTATCTACTCTGCATGTGCCTCCTCTGGCTGGTCTGAAGGAATAAAGTGCAGACAGAGAGGAATCACAACCTGGATCGAGTACTGGTTGGAAGTAAGGTGTGTAAGACTCCCTACGATGCAGGAACAATCTAAAACTTGAGGACCCTTCCTGGCAACTCAACAGAAAAAGTAAAGACTTCTAACTAAATGGAATTAATACTCTTATGAGAAAATAATGAAATTAGGAAAAAAAAACAAAAACTAGTGACAAAATCTGCAAAATAGGATTGCTCACAGCCCCAGCTGACCACACTCCACCTCCAAAACTTGACATACCCTCAGGCAACAGAACACAAACTGGACACATCCAAATCCTTAAGCAGACTTTGGAAGGAACCAATGGCTAGCCTGTATTGGGACAATTTTTTAAGATCCAGATAGAATGTCCCACATAAAATATGTGTAAGATGAAAATAAGCTGTATAGAAACTAAAGATCATCATCAGTATTGATCAGATCAAGGATGGCACAAGGGTTATTCTTAAAACACCCAAAGAATTCCTTTTCCTCTGCTAGGCGGAAAAAAAGTAGAGCTCAAGAGAAGGTAACATATGAGTCTTAACAGAGGAAAGTCTCTCACGGTAAATTTTCTGCTGCCATGAGTCCAAGTGGAGGCAGATGTCAGTAAACCATGTCCTTCCATGTCTCTACTCCGGGTACATCACTTCAGTAAGAGGACCCAGGCCTTATGCCAAATGGTATAGATCATAGCATGAGATTCATCTC